GGATTTATTGATGAAATGTAAAAATTTGATATGATAAATTATTCATTTAATTAGGTAAGGAAAAATCGCCCATATAAAAGATAAAAATGCTGATAATCAATTTAAACTTATTGGAAAATGTAATTTCTGTCACTGCTGAGAACTAACCTCTGCACAGAATATGAAAAATATCAAAAACTTTAAGAGTCAGCAGTAGTCCACACCAGTCCTTGAGGCACCAGAGCAATAACACACTCAGCAAAATACCATCTAATCATAGTTATCGACAAAACCCCAGAAAAAAAATGTATACAATTTTTTTTTTTTTTTTTGTCAATATCACACACACCTACTCTTACCATAACCGTACATTTCACTGTCTCACACATGATGACAACACACTACTAAGCAGTGTTGGGAGTAACGCATTACAAAAGTAATACATTACTGTAACATATTAGTTTTTGCTGTAACGCAGTAGTGTAAGGCATTACTAATCAATTTTCAGTAATATTTTACTCGTTACATGTTCAGTGAGGCTTGTATTACAGTTGTATTACAGTGTATTGTCTGCTTTTACTTCTTAAAGGCAACAGACTATGTGAAATTTTTAAAGCAGTCTTTTAGTGCCAGTTCAGAGCGGTCGCGTCTGTAACATTGTTTTTTCCTCATAAATGCGAACACGAAAACTAAAATAAAATGAATATTTTAAGTTCTATGGAGACTGGAGAGCCAACCCTTCCTCATCCGATTTGCGCAGTGTAATTAACAGAATTACAAAAAATCGATTTTGCCTCCTATTTTTTTGTCACGCATGAATGTGTGTCTTTTCCCTAATATTAAAAATAAAACATAGACTGATATTTGTCTAATGTCTGGAGTCCTTTAAGGAAGTAGCCTATATACGTTTCAATACATGTATTTTCTGGGAATTTTTATTTCAAGTTTTGACTGCAAATGTCATGTCCATAATTCTGGACTTCCCCAATTTTCAATAATTTATCCTCAACTAGTTTTGTGGTTAACTTCAAATGTTAACTTCAAATAATACTAATAGCCTAATTTAAAGATAAGGCAGCATTGGATCTGGACGGTAAGGAGAATAACGCTGGAGTTGGAAGAGGTGTGTCGCGATTCTGTAGGTTCGTGGATCTGAGTCGTGTGGCGAATCGCGATTTCGGTTTCATATTGCATATCGTTACAGCCCAAAAGTTCTACTTAGTTATTTTGGTGAAAGTAACTCAAAAGTAATACATGAGTAATGTAACGCATTACAATTCTAAGACAGTAATATTGTAAGGTAATGAATTACTTTTAAATAACAGTAACAAGTAATACCTAATGTATTACAGTTTGGAAGTAACTTGCACAACACTGCTACTAAGTAACTCAACCAGGCTCCGGTTCCTTGGGCAAGAACTATTTCAATGAGGAATACTGTGTTCGTCTCTGGAAGAAAACCTAGAGAAAAAAAATCAGTGCTCTCTGATATAGCAAATAACTCCCTTTGGAGTGGCTTTGCGCTTTGTAACTTTGCACACGCTTTAGTGATAAATAAAACACAGCATTTTCATTTTTAATACGTCGACGTGCATGATAGGCTTTTTTGAAGTTCACGTAATTGGCGACAAAGTGAACTTGATGAGACGCAGTCCACAACACATCTGCATGTGTGGCTGTGCTCTGCAGTGGCTACTCGTGCATGGCTCTGTGAAGCTGCTCATCGGCCTCAGAACAGGTGCTGTGAACAGGCGGCAGCAGCAGGTCCTGGCTGTCCAGACCAGCTCTCTACACCCTTCTGATCAGTCATCTGGCAAGAGCTACACACACATGCTCTTGCAAAGATCGGCAGCACTATATCACAGGATGGTGTTAAATAAGGGCCAAAGACAGAGCTCACACCTTCCTTATAACATTTGACAAAAGTATGGTTCACAAGCAGTGTTGTGCAAGTTACTTCCAAACTGTAATACATTAGGTATTACTTGTTACTGTTATTTAAAAGTAATTCATTACCTTACAATATTACTGTCCCAGAATTGTAATGCGTTACATTACTCATGTATTACTTTTGAGTTACTTTCACCAAAATAACTAAGTAGAACTTTTGGGCTGTAACGATATGCAATATGAAACCGAAATCGCCATTCGCCACACGACTCAGATCCACGAACCTACAGAATCGCGACACACCTCTTCCAACTCCAGCGTTATTCTCCTTACCGTCCAGATCCAATGCTGCCTTATCTTTAAATTAGGCTATTAGTATTATCTGAAGTTAACATTTGAAGTTAACCACAAAACTAGTTGAGGATAAATTATTGAAAATTGGGGAAGTCCAGCATTATGGACATGATGACATTTGCAGTCAAAACTTGAAATAAAAATTCTCAGAAAATTCATGTATTGAAACGTATATAGGCTACTTCCTTAAAGGACTCCAGACATTAGACAAATATCAGTATATGTTTTATTTTTAATATTAGGGAAAAGACACACATTCATGCGTGACAAAAAAATAGGAGGTAAAATATATTTTTTTGTAATTCTGTTAATTACAGCGCAAATCGGATGAGGAAGGGTTGGCTCTCCAGTCTCCATAGAACTTAAAATATTCATTTTATTTTAGTTTTCGTGTTCGCATTTATGAGGAAAAAACAATGTTACAGACGCGACCGCTCTGAACTGGCACTAAAAGACTGCTTTACAACTTTCACATAGTCTGTTGCCTTTAAGAAGTAAAAGCAGACAATACACTGTAATACAACTGTAATACAAGCCTCACTGAACATGTAATGAGTAAAATATTACTGAAAATTGATTAGTAATGCCTTACACTTCTGCGTTACAGCAAAAACTAATATGTTACAGTAATGTATTACTTTTGTAATGCGTTACTCCCAACACTGCTCACAAGGATATGGATTAGAAACAAAATATTTGTGTGATGCGGAAATTATTTGAACCGACTAAAAAACGTTTAGCAAAAAGTTAAACCAAGTGAGCTGCCTACGTAGGCAAGTATTGATTTGTGTGTAAGGGTGCGCATGCAAAAAAAAGGACGTGTCATTAAATTATGTAATCGCAGCACTTCTGGCAATGCATTTTTTCTGAAGAAATATTTCAAATTGTTATTACATAAAATTGCATTATAAGAAGTGTTGGGGAAAGTTACTTTTAATAGTAATATATTACCACATTGCTTTAGTTATTCCCTAAAAATGTAACTAATTGCATTAGTTCTCACCTGGGCTGGACTTGCTTGTTTTTTTATACATAATAAAAAGGAATATATATAGTAAAATATCACAATAGTAATAGTAATAATTATAATATTTGTATAATCACAGATGTTTTGGTCACATTTTGCAGACCTCCTAACAAGCACTAGCCTGGCTGCGCCCTCCTACGCACTTCCGCTCAATTTCATTTTACTTACGTCTGGGATCGCTCCATATCCTTAGGTTTCCAGAAATCAATTTTTTGTAGGACCAATCAGCGAATAGAGGGAGTGGCTGAGAAAGATGACGTTGATGTAAGCGCGTCAGTTTGAGTGCAGTAATGGCAGCGGAGAAAGACGTGAGAAAAGCTATTCGGTCCGTTGTTTGAAAAGAAACTGCCGAATATACAGAATTTAAAGCCGGATTGTTATCGTCTCACCTCTTGTTGCACAACTGAGGACCAAGTGAAGGAGGCAGAAAGTTTGGAAGTTTGTGCTGGGCAGCTCGTGCACAATGACCGTGACATTTTGGACTTTAGCCTGGTGTTCGCGGTGTTCGGAAGCCCCGAGTCCTGGCTGCTAAACTATGGTTGAAGATCCGCTCAGGAGTCATGTCAGTCGCTCAGATTCCCAACTGTAAATTTACTGATTCTTGTGATGAATAGAACATTTTGAGCCCCTTTGTGCACTCGTGCAGGAGGTTGGTGTGTCAGTTTTACATGTTGTAAATCATACAAATTGGTTGTGATTTTTTAAAAATAATTGTCATAAATAAAAATGTGAAAAACCATACTTTGAAGATATTTGATTTTCAGTTTTAGATGACAATGGTTGATTTGTTTTACTAAAAAAAACTAAATGCCATATAAAAATGTACAAACACATACTTTGAAGACCATAATTAAGGTAATTAAGAAACAAAAAGACGTAATATGAAAAATTGTTGTTTATTACACATCTGCAGATAGAGACAGACTGATCATTCACTGTAGCTGCTACAGCATTTGCGGCAGATCAGAAAACGACCACAGCGGCGTATTTGTAATGATTAGACACAGCTTCCACCGTTAAATGAATATATCACTGTCCTTCGTGTCAAATATACATTTCGAATTAATAATTGTTCCTAGATTAACAAAACCTGCGGCGCTCGTTGGCTGAAATCCTATTGTAAACATAATCCTCTGATCATTCGGACTTGTTGTTTCCAGCCATTTCGGCCGTGACATACGTCACTCACGACATCCCGTTAGCGATTGGCTATGGCAGATCGTGAGTGACTCTGGGCAGATCCAATAGATTTGAACTTTAATAGTGAACCCGCCTACAAGGAAGGAAACGTTTCTCAATCGAGCGGTTCCAGACTCTATGTGGAAATGAAATGAACTAGAGTCTGATTGAACCAGGCTAAACAAGCACAGCAAACATAGAGCTTTTATTTTGAATCGCATTTCACAATGATTGTAAAATAATAAAAATAATTATAATTATATATATATTTTTTTTTTTTATTGAGTGCCTTCTTGTCTCGTTTGGTTTTAAGTTTGTATTGCAGTTTTATATCTGTGTCTCTTGTATTCCTTGTAAAGCACTTTGGTCAACTTCGGTTGTGTTTTAAATGTGCTCTATAAATAAATGATTGATTGATTGATTGATTGATTATAAAAATCCATTTCCCCCCAAATCGTGCACCCCTACCATTGACTTTCATTGTAAGAAAGGCAGTCAATACAGGTTTGGAATGACATGAGAGTGAGTTAGTAACCTATATTTAAAGGTGTAATAGTATGCGATCTCTCACCTCGAGTTCTTGAAACTCATCATCGTCATCGTCTACATCATAGGACAGTGTCTGAATCTTGGCGTCTTCCATAGAGAGATCCAGAAGCCTGCTTTCAGAGAACAGAATCCCGTCTTTAGTGACGGCTGTGGCAGACGAGGCAGGGGTCATGTCCTCAATGAAGGTGGTTTCACAGCAGTCCCCTCCCTCTCCCCATGCTCTCAACACGCTCTCGGGGTAGAGAATGAGGTTGGGCCTGTAGTAAGGGTCTATAGCCTGGGGAAGGGTGCTGGGGTTGAGCAACTGTGGGGGTCCTCTACCATCCGGTGTCCCATTTTTGTCCTTGGACACCACATGGCCCTGATACTGTGGAGCAGAATAGACCGACACCAGTCCTTCCTTAGTCTCAACCATTAGGTTGTGGGTATTGATCAAACCATTACGTTTGCAGCATTCATGTCCCAAGTCAGCGCTCCCTGCTAATGGGTTCTTCCCTTGATTAAGATGGTCTTTCTCATCTGCCACTCCTGCTTCTAGTCGTGTTCGGAGCCCTTTGTCCATGCTGGTCTGTTGGTGTGGAGGAAGGCTTGCCTCATAAATGGCTTTGTGGAGGCATGAGGTTCAAGAGTCACTCCCCTTCTTCCTGCAAGAATACACATCACCGATGGTTATAAAAACTATAATGGAAGAATTTGAGGTCACACACATCAACTAATGTCAGTGAAAGAAATATACTGGTGAATTGAGGTATCTCACAAACCTGCCACGTCCGGATCATGTTTCACCCCAGAATCAAGAGAATTGAGTCTAATTCTATCATGACAACTCTCTGAAGATGTTTATGGATATGAGAATGTTAATGTATTTGGTCTATAAAACACAGATACGCTGCCGTGAGCATGTAAATCATACCGCTGCTGCACAAATAGCTTACAGCAGCGATTCCCAAACTGTGGTCCGCGGGACCACTAGTGGTCCGTGAGGGTACTGCAGGTGGTCCATGAAAAGGCAAAATAAAATATAAAATATTTTACAAATAAATTCCCATTAAAAGAGAAAAAGAATATGTAGGCCTGTATTTATATAAAATGTAAATTAAATTGTCAAGCTATTGTGTGATTACTAAAATAAGCTAGTGGCGCTCGGCCGTGACGTTCAAGCTCCGTGTCGTCAGAACCACAACGCCGGATCGGTGGATAGCAACAGGTTAGGTGAGCATTTATTTAGTTGTTTGTTTTTAATATTGGTTTACATTAGACAGGGAAAGATCTGGAGGGTGACAAAGGAGGATATTATTACGTTCATATCGGGCTGGCAAATAGACTGGCTTTTCCTTTTGACAACTTTATTTTTTTAACCTGGAATAACGTTAGGCCTACTGTGTTTTCTTTTAAATGTATAATGTTATAAGGCAGAGGCAAGAGTCTAATTTTTGAGGACTTGTAGAACTCTTAAGATTATCATTAATAATCCCCTAAAATCGCTAAAGGTTTTGAAATGCTGACTATATCCAAGTGTTCTTATTGCTGTATAGATTTCATACTCCATTGCTATGGAAATAAGCCTGTTGTTCAAATGAACCTGATTATAATATGTAATAAATAATATAATATGTAATATCAATATGTGTATTATGAGGTACTCCGTGAAAAATCTTGATTACAAATACTGGTCCTCACACACAAAAAGTTTGAAAAACCCCTGGCTTAAAGTATATAAAATAACTCCTGGAAGATATATACAGGTGGAGCTGGGAAAGGTGGAGGGCTTCAGAAGAAACTAGTAAAAAAATAGTCAGCTATCTTTGAATGTTGAGCACCAAGCTTATTGGCTGCAGATGCAAAAGGAACCAATCAGCTTGTGCCATGTGCCATGTGTTGTAGTACTCGAGACTACAACACATTTTTTGATGGTCTTGGTCTTGTCATAGACTCGTGTGCATTTGGACTCGGAATTGACTCGTACTCAAACATTTTTTTTTTAGGACTCTGAATTATTCCCGAGTCCACTCGAGTTCAATTAAAAACATTTTTCATGATTATTAATGTATGTTAATAAAATATTTCTTTAAATTGATTGACACACCCAGTGATTGGTGATTTTCTAGTGCGCAACTGCGCATGACAAATTGTAATAAAATTACTTTTAACACCACCTACTATGTGGCCTTTTTACCCTAAACTGATCATATTTTTTAAACTCTAAGTAAATTCAGTATACAAAAAAGGATTTCTCTAAGTAAATAAAAGTAAATAAGGTAATCAACCCTCACTGGTCTCGGTCTCGACTCGGACTCGACTGTCTTTGGTCTCGGACTCGACTCGGACTCGACTCTCTATGGACTCAGTCTTGACTCGGACTCGACTCTCTCTGGTCTCGGTCTCGACTCGGACTCGAGTGAGGTGGTCTCGACTACAACACTGCCATGTAGTAAACAATGTAAATGTCATCCGTTTGTGTTAAGGACCCATCAGCCTGCACCATTTTGAGTTCCATGCCAGAATTTGGTATTATACAAGGCAATTAGTTTAGCCATTTTTTTCATGTACTTCCCCAATTTTCATAATTAAATTTTAAATTCTGTACCATAAAAAAAATATTTCTAAAGACTATCATATGTTTAAGAAATAATAATAATAATTCATAAATTTAAAAAAAGTACAACAACAACAACAATCTAATAAGAATCCACACTGACAATTAATATCTGGGATTACAAAAAGTATTCAGTATATAAAACACAATGCATGTCTAGAATGATAATCTGGGTAAAAATGAGCTAAACTATTTTATTTTATTTTTTTAAATTTAAAGGTCCTAAAATCAATCAGTCAATTTGAATCTGACAAAAAAAAAATATTCAAATTAATATAAAACTGTATAACTCTGAATTGAAATTGAATTTAATATTTTTATAGTGAATATTTAAGACCAAGATTAATGTAATATTTTTATATTTTTTTCAGACAACTATAGACCATGCATCTAGACAAATGTCTGATGTTCTCAGACTGTCAGAGATTAGTATAGGCTTAATACCAACTTAGTTTGTTTTTTCTTCTGAACTCTAAAAGACCATTGTATTGTTGTTTCTCAATCATGCGTTTGTTGGTTGCTCTAAAATGCATGTCTAGGCCATCAATTTGCAGAGCTCTGCGCCACCGTGTTATCTAAAACCCTACAGCCAGGTTGCCGAATACACAAACTTTCTTTTCTGCTAAGTTCAGCAGTGTGCCGAATAACAGCGGTGTCCGTTGCTGGGGGCACTAATGGGTGTGCAGCATCTTAATCTGATTTCGAGTCTACTGCCATTAGCAGAGAAAAATCCATCACACCATCAGCAGTGTCCTGTAAACATTTAGATGCTTCGTTTCTACACTTTGCAGTGATACTTTAAAGTGTACCTGATCTCAGCACTTTGGCCATCAGATTTTACACTGTTTTAGATACGCTAAACAGCACTGGATACTCTCCAATGAAACATACATCAGTTTAACAGGGCTAGTGTGAAAACATCAATACCACATTAAAGACTCCAGGAATGAAACATTAAACACTAGCGATAGACCGGTATTTCGGCCAGGCCATGTAATGTGTTTATATTCCCAAATTCTACTGACAGCTTTGTCAATTGATAATAAATATTTTTTGTTTCTGTTGAGGATTGAGTAAATGTTGCGTAAGATAAGCTTTCTTTTCAGTTCAGCAAGTTTGTGTACGACTCATTTGCTGTAATATTTATATTTGCTATAACTATTTGCAATAAATATAGAATTGAAAACAACAGTCGTTACACGTTTGATATACTGTCTGAAAATAAATAATGAGACATGGAAAGACAACTCGTCGTTACGTTTTTTTTTTTTTTTTTAACAAACAGAACATGAGATTTTGACACGATTTCTCATTTTCTGTTTGTGGTTTACAAATCAGTTCACAGCTTCGATATTTCATTCATACATGTGGGTGGCGCTAAAAAGCCTTTCATCTGATTGGTCAAATGCTCCGTCTTCAGTACAGCCTTAAACCGTCAGTTCACCAAAAAAATGACACCCTCATGTTGTTCCAAAACTGTAAAGGCCATTGCACACCGAGCACGAAATATTCGTATGCGTATTTTCGTGTTCGTCAGCTTAAAAATTCGTCACGCATAGAAACCTTGCACACCGAGTCCGTTGCGTATTTCTTAAACCTTTGCGGGAAAAAACGCAAAAATACCAAATGGATTCGTCAAGCAGTGAGGATGATTTTTGCCCTCTCTCTTATTGAAAAGGGAAGAAAGAAAAAAAAATATTACGTCCATCCAATCCTGAAATTGCGCCGAGACCGAGAGGAAGGAGACTTTCCTTATCAAGGAGTTGCGAATTTATCCTGAGCGATTCAAAATTTACCTCAGAATGTCAGTGGGACAGTTCGATGCTTTGCTAGCGATTCTAGAGCCACATATTAAAAACAAGACCACCAATTTCCGTGAACCAATCGATTCTGAACGGAGACTGGCAGTGTGTCTGAAATGGACCAGGTATGGACACACACACACGGACAAACACACACCCGCGCGCGGCCCGTTGGAAGCGCTGGGCAGACAGAACAGCTAGGCTGTTATTGTGTATTGTGCCCAAATAATACATTAGTTATCGAATAGGCTGCTCAATCACACCTTTTTCGATCCTAAATTTCAATCTGGGGAGGTTTATTAATTTCATAATCCAATATAGAGAAGAGAACATAAACACTTGATCGAATTGAAAACCGAAACTGAAAGCACGGCGCATGAATGATTTGAGGACGAGCTCCCCCGGCCCTGAATTGTCAAAAGACCTCTCAAAATGCTGGCTCTGGATGCGAAAAACGCAGAAAATCGAACCCGATCCGATTAATTTTATGACGGACGAAAGTTTCGGAGGCGGTGTGCAAGCGTGACTGACATAACGTGAGGTCGAATTTTTTTTTTAACGTGCGAAAATTTCGGATGCGAATTTCGGACTCGGTGTGCAATGGCCTTAAGACTTTCAATGATCTTCGGAGCACAAATGAAAATCTTTCTGATTAAATCTGAGACCCTCCTGTCCCTCCATTGACACAGTCTACACAACTACCACTTTCAAGCATCAGAAAGGTAGTGAAGACATCATTAAAGTAATCCATGTGACTCGAGTGGTTTAACCTTAGTTTTGAAGCGACGTTTGAGTGCTTTGTTGGTGCGAAAAAGCTAAACCAAAAAGTAAGACAATTTACCAGTTTATTTTAAAAAAAAATAACAAAATATGTGTGACGAGAGAGCAGATGTTGTTGCACGTTGGGGATTAATATTTTTGGTGGGGTTTTTGCCCAAACAAAGCACACGCATCACTTGGATAACATGGATAACACTGGAGTCATATGGATTACTTTAATTATGTCTTTACTAACTTCCTAAAACTTGAAAGTGGTAGCTATCACTGGTTAGAAAAAGGATCAGAAAACTCACAGATTTCATCATTGACTTGTGTTTCAAAGATGAACAAATGTCTTATGGGTTTGGAACAACATGAGGGTGAATAATTGTGGGTGAACCAACCCTTTAATACTGTCAGGCACATAATTAGTGCTGCTGCCTCTAATGTACTAACACAGAGTTTGGGGTATTAATATCAATATTAAAGAGCAACGTAAGATTTTTGTACATTAAAGGTGATGCTTTGCATTAGCACTAATTAATGTGCCCAGCAATATTTCTGCTTCAAATGTCATGTGTAGTTAACAGTAAATGGTGGTTAAACTGTTAAACTGGCGCTGTTGTACGAATAAAAGCACAGGGCCATGATTATTTAGTACAGCATCATTCACAATGCTTGTGCGGTGTGCTTGATTATTATTAGCATGAAAAGTACGCCCACTCGTTGAAATAACATTTTTAAATCCATTTTTCTATAATGGAACACTTGGTTTTCTACGTAAATTCACTTAGTGCTTTCAAAATTAACCTGCGTTCAATAAACTTTTTGAGTTTAACGTCTTAATAATATTTAAAGCAATTGACGATTTTAAGATTTAAAGCAATCCGTTTCTAACCCGTCATCTTTTTGCTAATGCTACAAAATAAGATCACGCTCTTATTCATGCATTCTTATTGTCATGAAATACCAAACGCAGCATGAGTTTATTTACAGGGTAGTCAGACAGGCAATGGTCACAGACAGCAGACACAGCATAGGAGACAAGGCAATAATCAGGATCCGATAACCAGGCGGGATAACAGAGGCAGGCGACAATCGAGGAACAGGTTCAACAAGGGTCGAAGACACAGACAGGAACAAACTAGACTTTGATAACAGACTAGGATAAAGATAACAGACTAGATAACAATGAAACAAGATCAGACTAGGAAACACTCGAATTCAACACAACAGTGACATTCAGTCATTCAAGACTTCATAATGGATGATAGAGACAGTGAGGTATAAATGTGTGAAGATCTGCGTGTGCAACTCGATGCAGGTGTGAGAGTGATCAATGGAAACTTGTTTGTAATCAGTTCAGGGTGTGTGCGTAAGCAGTCCAAGGAAAGGCAGTGCAAAAGTGGAGCGCCCTCTCCAGGGTACTCGAGGGTAATCAAGCCGATCACCTTTGAGGAGTGGCTTCCAGGCGCTTCAAAGACGATCTAAGCCGGGGATAGAGTGAAGGCTATCCTGGGGGTGGGCCGGAGGCCCAGGCCCTTGCAAGGGAACAGGACCAGGATATAGCCACGGCGGGCCTGGGCCACAGAGCGTGGGCAGACCTGACTGGGCAGGTGGCCAGGGCGGAGCAGGATGCTGTAGCCCAAGATTGGTTGCCCACTGAAGCTAAGCAGGGCTGAGCCTGGTTAGTATCTGGATGGGAAACCTCCTGACAAAACCAGGTTACTGCTGGAAGAGGGGTTAGTGAGGCCAGCAGGGGGTGCTCACCCTGTGGTCTGTGTGGGTCCTATAGTGACGAGGACACTATACTGTCAAAGAGCACAGTCCTTCAGATGAGACGTTAAACCGAGGTCCTGACACTCTGTGGTCATTAAAAATCCCAGGATGTCTTTCGAAAGAGTAGGGGTGTAACCCCATCACCCTGGCCAAATTTTCTCCTCAGGCTTCCCTGGATCTGAAGACCTCTTGGGCAGCCATGGCAGAGAAGACCCCTCAAGAGACCATGGCAGCATGACCTTATTGGTCGTTTTGTGGAGGAAAAATACTTGGGGGAACCTACGGAACATAGGCTGGAACAGGAACCGGTTCAGGAACTAACATTGGCTCAGGAACTGACAATGGTTCAGGAACTACATGTTCAGAGGACAAGCGATGACCAGTCTCTTGTGCAACGGGCGGGACCAGAAGTGCCGGGCGGGACCAGAAGTGCTCAGGCTTGTCTAGGTAGACATGAAGCTGTGGTTCGTCTAGACTGATGTGAAGCTCAGGTTTGTCAGGGCTGACATGGAGCGCAGGCTAGGCAGGGTTGACGTGGAGTGCACCTTTATGGACTTCCGTGTTGAGATCAGTGGAGGATCAGCCATGCTGGAAACCAGTTCTGGGCAGAAATAGACCGATCCGATGGCAGCTTTGATGGTAGGTGTGACATGAAGATTCTGCAGCTCGTCAAGCGTGACATGAAAAGACCATGGTTTGATGAATAATGAGGACTCGCAGGGCTCCTTGTCCACCTGACCCACAGTAAAAGCTGAACCACTCAGTTGCAGGGCGATGTCAATATACTGCTCTAAAGTGCCGTGAAGATCAGGGTCGGGCGTCAATGACCGGAGCGGTTCAGATAACCCTCCAATGAAAAAATCATTAAACAGTTGGTGCTAATTAACATGAAATGTGTCCTCGACATACCACTCAATTGAATGATCTCCCTGACGGAGTCGCATGATCTCAGCTTCCGTATCTGTGTTCGGCATCACTGCGTGAGCTCGTCTCTACGGATCACTTCCAAGTCGGCTGATACCAGAAGATTGCGAGACCTCACTTCTGTCGAGCTTGGTGTAGAATCAGGATCGATTCAGGGGTGACAACTGTGGAGACGGGTTCAGTCTGTGATGGTTCCAGAGTAGAAACTTGAAGACCGCAAACCATCTTCTTGGCCAACCTCTCCAACGACGAGGTGAGTTGATCTAGTTGATCCTAGTGTACAGCTATCAGATCCTCATTGGCTGACTGGGAGGCATACAAGGCTGACATGCTACTGGATCTGGTTATGGTGAAGACTTCTGTCATAAAACACCAGACTCAGGTAGATCCAACGCAGTGTGAGTTTATTTACAGGGTAGTCAGACAGGCAGTGGTCACAGACAAGAGACAAATCACAATTATTAAGCATGACACAAAAGAAAACAGCATGCAGTGCGGTACTGGCGTGCATCTGTGAATCTCTTGTCTGTGTAATACACACTACTCGTGCAGAAAGCCGCTTCAGACAGCACTTGAATGGACAAAAACACACAAAATAATGGCAAAATGCCCGTTTTGTGGAGTATCCTTGATTGCAGAGTCTCAAATGAGTTAAATTAAGTCTCAAATGAATGTAGAGTTGTGAAAAATGGGATCCGTGTCTGATGTGTGTCATGTGCGGCAGGTCTGAAAGTGATAGCAGCTTAATAAACCTGCTGCTGTTTGTCATTAAGGATAATAAAAAAAAATTTAAAAAGAGAAAATCACTCACAACTCTTGACTGAATAACATTTGTAGCTTTAATAAAGATAAATCTATATTTAATTCATTATTTATGCAATGAAGTGTTTGAAAACTTAATTCAATTATATAGCCTACCTGTTAGACCTACCTGACCGACCTTGAAGCTGTATACAAGTTACATGGGTTAGAAACAATGATAACAATATATATATATATTGACAGGGCAAGTGAAAATCTTAACTGGCCTGACTGGGCCAATTGAGCCCTGATATATAGGCTATTGAAGGTCACAGATAAATGTGACATAATGGGTTTATGTAAAGATTTTTTTTTTTAAAGTTGTTGTATTTTTTAAAGTCTAATAAATGTTAAAATTGATAGCTTTTGAGTATACTGTAATGATGAATGGCTAAAATTGAGGGGGGGGGGAAACAATTTCAGAGACTGAAGCGATATCGGTGTCATGGGCTTCTTTCATAAAAAGATGCTTTTAAACAAATATTTAAAATATAGAATACTGTATTGTTGTTGTTTCTCCATTATTTGGAGATTAAATGTGAAATTATGAAAACTTTGATGTTTCGTCGCGATTAATTACAGAAAATTATAGCCTACTTATTTTTTTAATCGATTGACAGCATTCACTAGGCTACGTTTTCAATCCAGTTTGTTTGAATTTGAACTCTTATTCTTTCTAAAACACTTAACGTTACAGTAATTCAATTTTATTTCATAACCAACAAAATCATGTTATAAGACCAAAACATGAATCTAAAGCAAATATGCATATTTTCGAAAAAGGTCTGCAATTCTGAACATTCAAAGCAAACAAAAACAGCTCCGGGATCCGTTGAAGTCGAAGACCAATCCGACTGAGACACAAAACAATGATGATGACTTGTAAATGTCACATAACCAACATAACTGACCACATAAATCCAAGTTTAATTATTTAATGATCCTCCACTATCATTATGATATTGGCTAGCAGATATCTCTGCAACAGTCATTAATCAATCAACCTGCGCATCAAGTGATCTCTGGGTAAAAATGCACCAGTGCAAGAATGAAGACAAACAACAGACTTGAGAAAGGTTTCTGTTGCCAGGCTTCAGAAAGCCTGTGATTCACTGATGTCATCTTGGTGCAATCATTCATTTGCTGTACAAGTTCGTGATCTGACTGGTAACTTACCTTCCAAGGTGAGCTGGTGTAGCAGTCAGTAAATGTTCATCTGAACGACGAATAATCTCTGGTGAAATGCTCGTGTCATATATCCTTTCACAATGTAATTTTTTTGGAGCAGAGTGATAAATAAAAGTCCAACGTGTCCAGTTTTGTCCCCGCTTCGAGAAGTCATCTATCAAGACTGTGAGGAGGATGGAGAAATCACCAGTAAAAACCTTTCATGCGGACTCGATGTCGATTATACTGCATCTTGCCAGCCGTTTTAATACGACTGCGGTAAGACTAGTAAAAAGGAGAAACGACACGTTGAGACTGTTGATTTTCCTACACTCTGTGCACTTGCTTTCCCCTCATCTGCAGTCTTTATATGGATGAGCTCGAGTTCCCCTGGGTCCTAAAGATCGCACTGACAGGAATCAGTGCTGAAATATCATTTGTTTTCATCATAGCCTATTTCTTTGTTTGATTCAAATTTTAACAGATTTTAACATTTATATTATATGGTTAGCCTATATAACAAACATAGTGACAGCTAAAGTGTGTTGTTATGGCCAGCAGCTGAGTGATAATGCAGCAAGTCTAAACTTTTGGTAACACTTTATTTTAGTGCCCATGTTACATATATAGTAATAACAGTAATAACAGTAAATTTTGCACAATCACATGCAACTAACCCTCAACCAAACCTTAATCCTAACCTATCCCTATTGTGAGTACATGTATAATTATTACTACTCAGTATTTGAGGTAACACTTTACAATAAGGTTCATTTATTAAACATTAGTTAATGTATTAACTAACATGAACTAACCATGAGCAATAAATTTGTTACTGTTTTTGTTAATCTTTGTTAATGTTAGTTAATACAAATCCAGCTGTTCATTGTTTGTTCATGTTAGTTCACAGTGCATTAACTAATGTTAACAAGGTTTTAATAAAGTATTAGTAAATGTTGAAATTAACATTAACAAAGATTAACAAATGCTGTAGAAGTATTGTTTATTCTTAGTTAATGTTAACTAATGTAGTTAACTAATGAACCTTATTGTAAAGTGTTACCGTATTTGAATGTGTAATTACACTGTAACATGACACCTTTTATTAAAGTCCCCCTGAAATCAAAATGGGAGTTTTTTGGCTTTTAGTATGAACATGTTTGTCTCATTGTTACCTATAAACTAGTGAGCTCCAAAACAATGACAAAATTTACATTTATAAAAGCATTCAAATCAATATGGAGGAATGGCTTTGATGACATCACTCTGCACCTCAGTTTCTTATCATATTTTCTGTCCAATCAAATGCTCTATGGAATCTGAAGCCCCTCCCTATACAAATAGACGACAGAGCTGCGGCTAAATTCTGGCAATTTTGTTACAAATTTATTATTTCTACATGGGGAATGGCACATATTGCACTATATAGGGGATAGGGAACGGACGCATACCACAAAAAGTATCGGACCCATTTAAATTCTTCCCAGGATGCTGTATTCCAGACAGGATGCAGCAATATGATTAGGAAGAAACTGCTCTGGCCAAGCTGTGATACAATGAAACGCTATTGGCTATTTATTTATTTTTTTTTTTAAGGGAGGAGCTGTTCCACATGTCCCACCCTGTCTTCCTGTTTCATTGGAAATTACAGCTCATTCTAAGGTAATAAAATATAACGTCTTTATACACCACACTGAAAACATAGTTATGTATATTATATTGCATTTCTGTCTAAATATGTCAATACCATTGCTGATTTTCTCTTTAAAACTGCAGTGAACCAAATATGATATGAAAAATCGGGTAGGGGAGAGCGGGGCACAACCTAACGCATTTTGGTTTTGGCTCAATTAATTAAAAAATAATTAGGTTAGATTAATATTTTTTTTTTACACAAGCAACATACACATCTCTGCTACAAATAAGCATTTAAAGTTTTTTTCTAGGACCTACCACTTGTTGCACTGAAAGTGACAGAAGTGCAAATGTTACAACTTACCCCATATGAGGGGTTAATTGTAACAGACAGAGGGGTTAGTTGTAACACTTGTGTGTAACACACATAATTCAGTACTATTTTATTTGTATAGTTTGATATTGTTTGTGCATCTGTATAGACAGATATCCATTCATCCATCCCTCATCCAATCATCCTTCTATTATGGATCAATATCATGGATAGAGACATAGAAATGGGCTGCATTTTGCAATAAATTATAAATTATTAATAAATAAAATTAATTAATAAATAATAAATTAATAAATACAATTATAAATATTGTAATTGCAATTAAATTAGATTTGTGTGTGGCAGCTGCATATACAATTATTATTATTAATAATAATAATAACAGTAATAATAATACAAATGAGCTTAAAATAAGTTTAAAATGAGTTTTCATTCATAGTACACTAAATTTTAAACATTTTAAATTCCAACATTGTTTATGAAAGTCTAACAAAGTTACAGTAAATGCATAGCTACTCAAACCTGAAAAGTTGTGTGGCTCCGTTTTCATTTGATTATTGGCGGCTTGTTTGTAACACTCTGTTAAACCCCGCTGTGTATTACATATTTTAAGCCTAGCTAACAGTCGCTAGGAATTGCTGACAATTTTTTAAAACGGTGCTGTGTTTGAGCCAACAAGACAGTGATTAAGGCAATATAAAGTTAGATTTGGAAACGTATACACCCAACTCTACGGAGCCCCTCTAGTCCCACTTTGGTAAAAAAAAATTATTATAACTATCTTGTGGCCTCAAGATAGTAACTCGTGGCCACAAGATACTAACTCGTGGCCTCAAGATACTAACTCGTGGCCTCGAGATACTAACTCGTGGCCTCAAGATACTAACTCGTGGCCTCAAGATAGTAACTCGTGGCCACAAGATACTAACTCGTGGCCACAAGATACTAACTCGTGGCCTCAAGATACTAACTCGTGGCCACAAGATACTAACTCGTGGCCTCAAGATACTAACTCGTGGCCACAAGATAGTAACTCGTGGCCACAAGATAGTAACTCGTGGCCACAAGATAGTAACTCGTGGCCACAAGATAGTAACTCGTGGCCACAAGATAGTAACTCGTGGCCACAAGATAGTAACTCGTGGCCTCAAGATAGTAACTCGTGGCCACAAGATAGTAACTCGTGGCCTCAAGATAGTAACTCGTGGCCTCAAGATAGTAACTCGTGGCCTCAAGATAGTAACTCGTGGCCACAAGATACTAACTCGTGGCCACAAGATAGAGTTACTATCTTGAGGCCACGAGTTACTATCTTGTGGCCACAAGTTACTATCTTGAGGCCACGAGTTACTATCTTGTGGCCACGAGTTACTATCTTGTGGCCACGAGTTACTATCTTGTGGCCACGAGTTACTATCTTGAGGCCACGAGTTAGTATCTTGTGGCCACGAGTTAGTATCTTGTGGCCACGAGTTACTATCTTGAGGCCACGAGTTAGTATCTTGTGGCCACGAGTTACTATCTTGTGGCCACGAGTTACTATCTTGAGGCCACGAGTTAGTATCTTGAGGCCACGAGTTACTATCTTGAGGCCACGAGTTAGTATCTTGAGGCCACGAGTTAGTATCTTGTGGCCACGAGTTACTATCTTGAGGCCACGAGTTAGTATCTTGTGGCCACGAGTTAGTATCTTGTGGCCACGAGTTACTATCTTGAGGCCACGAGTTAGTATCTTGAGGCCACGAGTTACTATCTTGAGGCCACGAGTTACTATCTTGAGGCCACAAGATAGTTATAATTAATTTTTTTTACCAAAGTGGGACTAGAGGGGCTCCGTACAACTCAGAAACCGAAAAAAAAAAAAAACCTATGATGAAAAAAAATTACTTTCACGGTGTCAAAACACTCTTTGTCCAGTATCTTCACGAAATATAATCAAAACTTTCCGCAAATTCGCGGGAGACCGTCTTCAGGCAGCAAGAGAAAAATAGCGGAAAGACAACCTGCTTGATCCTGACGAACTATGTAAACGGTCCGTGTTACATTTAACCCCGCGTAAGGTTGCGCTCCCCACATTTAGCAATATAGCAAGAGGCTATATATTACGATGTTATTATAAATTATATGCCTTTCTCCACTGACATTCTGAGTTTTTGAAAGCATTTCTGATGATTTTTAGAAGGCGGCTGCCTGACTCTGAGATGGCGAACGGGAATATAGCTAGTTTGTGTATCATAGCAACACATTATTAGAGGTTTGAGAAGATAGTCAATCAAAAGGCTAATTCATATTAATTACCATTATGTGTCACAGTGTCTGGTTGTGTTTCCCTTCTGGGTTGTCACAAGAGGTCCTCGTTATCACGGTGTCTTTCACATTTGACTTCACTTCCCAGCATTCTGTCTGTCACTGTTACATCAGTTCATTGCAGTCAGCTGTTCCCCGTAATCATTGTTCCCAGCTCTTCATTGTTAGTCTTGTTAGATCTGTGTGTATATATTCCCTGTCTGTGACAGTATGTGTTCGGAGTCGTTATTTTGTGTCACACCACTTCAGGTCTGTGTTTGTTCCTAGTTCCTGCTTTGTTTATTTGTTTTGACGGCTTCTTTTGGATTGACCCTGCATGTTTGACTACGAGTTTGGATTGCCCTTATACTAAATATTATAAAACTATAATAAAACTTTTATAATAATTATAATAAAACTACTGCTCTTAGATTATCTGCCTCCCGTGTGGTTTACATGACATTATGTGTCTGACGTTGTGGATACATATGCATTACCATGTGTGAATGAACATTATTTTGAAAAATATCATATACCCATTAAAGAAATAATCAGTACCGGTATCATTAAAATTGCAACAAAAAGTATTGGTATCTTATTGAATTTTAAAGTTTGGTATCACAGATCTCGGATTGAAAAGTATGTTGACTAATCAGAAGCCATGGGACAGGAAATGAAAAAAAAAATCCATTGCACACTGAGATCAAATTATGTGCAAATCAATAAATAAAAGGAATAAAAATAAAAGGTTATTGGGATAATGTAATTCAAAATATAGGGATAAGATAATATTAAATCATATGAAGTTGGAAAAAATCTCTTTATAACAAAATATTTATTTTCCCTTTAAATTTGTCCAGTTATTTTGCTTTTGTCGAGTTGTGCACCTTAATCCTAAAAGGCTGAGACAAATGAAAATATACAAAGTAATAGTTTAATGCTTTATGGGCATTAATAACTACATTTATGACATTAAGATCTAAAGTTGTTTAAACATGTGAGATACAAACCATTGATGTCTAGTTTTAGTGGGTTTTTTTTTTGTTTGTTTTGTTTTTTGTTTTGTTTTTTAGGAGTAGAGAATGAAAATAT